GTAATGGTTTTTATACTGTACAGACCGTATATTCTATTGCCCTACACCAACCCTACCCCTAAACCTACCCCTCACAGGAGACTTTCTGCTATTTCAGATTTTCAATACACTCCATTCTGTGTGATTTATAAGCGTTTTGAAAAGTGGGGACATGGGGTAATGTCCTGAAAAGTCACCTTCTCCTTGTAATACCTGTCATACCTTTGTCATTATACACACACACACACACTCTCTCACACACACACACACACACACACACTACCTCTCTCACACACACACACACATACACACACACACACATACACACACACTCTCACACACTACACAAAGGTGAACGAGTGTAAATGTGCTGCAACAGATTTTTATGAATGATCCATTGATAAAGACACACGTGTAGTTTACTTGTGAAAAAACAAGAATTAACCTGTAAACAGACAATCAGACTTTCACTGGAATGCTGGTAAACCAGTTTGCCCTTTCAAACTATTTAAAGTCTTATAGACATTGTGGTGGTGTGTGTCTTTGGCAGGGTGTGTGTGTGTGTGTGTGTGTGTGTGTGTGTGTGAGAGTGTGTGTGTGCGTGTGTGTGTGCGTGTGTGTGTGTGCGTGTGCGTGCGTGTATGTAATTCCTCTGTTTTAAAATCAGACCAAGACTTTTCATAACATCTGTTATTTCACTATAGTTCATTTTTATGGAATGCCTTTTCATTATTCACTTATTAGATTAAGCAGCGAGCTGGAGCAGAAGTGAAACGCTAAAAAGAAGAAGAGAAAGAGGTTTAAGAAAAGAAATAAAGTCAATAGTCACAATTACAAGAAATGTTTTTTTCACTCTAAGGCAAGATTATTATTCTAAACTAAAGCTAAAACCATTAAAACATTGCTGTTACTTGAAATAAAATAAACATTAACTGAAATAAATTATATTTAAAAAACGCCGACTGCATGTCCATAAACTCAAGCATTTAACAGCATATTCATTATATTTTTTATTTAACCTGTTAATGATTTTTATTTAATGTTTGACCAATCACCAGCCACCATTTAATATCTACATTTCAATAATGAATTGGAGCAGAAACATAATTATGTCATTAAACACAAAAACTCTTAAATGTCGGTATACAACTCAGTTTTAATTATTACATCTAAAAATAAACAGCAATTGAAATGAATAGCTTGAACTTTTAATATTAAAGTAATTCACCGCGTGACAGGGTTCTCTATATAGTTTACATCTTCAGTTGAGAGAAGAAAAAAATGGCATGTTACCTGATATATATTCAAACAAATTAACATCGAATTGAATCGTGAAATCGTGATGCCACAGACAGGACAAACGAAAGAGTGATAAAGAACAATCAGACACTGAGAAACATCTGCTGGAATATCATAAGCAATTATATAAGCATTTCAAAACTGTTCTCAGTGAACAAGCAGTAATATCTGTGTCCAATCAACAGCAGACTATCTGCAGTGGAAAAAGCACAAGGTCAGTGAGAGTAACTGGATCTGCTGTGCGCACACACACACACACTCAGTGCCTCGGGTGTTTATCAATAAATAAACATCATAAAGCGCTGAGAGACACACACACACACACACACACACATGCTTTAAAAGCCTTTCATCAGATGATCTCAAACACACAGCGCCATTACGAGTGTGTGTGTGTGTTTTTAGGATAAGTGGATACCAATCCACAATGGCAGGCTGAAGCACCTGGTTGCCATGGAAACATTTCTGTGAGGTGACAGTATTAGATAAGAAATGACGTGCTACGGCACTGACACATATATTAGACTTTTTCTGTTATTAAAATGACCATAACAACAGTAGTTACGATGGTAACTATGGTATTGCCATGGCCTTTTACCATGGAAACACTAGATATGATGGTAACCATGGTATTGCCATAACAACAGTCAATGGAAACACAAGTTATGATGGTAACCATGGTACTGCCATAACAACAGACCATAGAAACACCAGTTATGATGGTAACCATGGTACTGCCATAACAACAGACCATAGAAACACCAGTTATGATGGTAACCATGGTACTGCCATAACAACAGACCATAGAAACACCAGTTATGATGGTAACCATGGTACTGCCATAACAACAGACCATAGAAACACCAGTTATGATGGTAACCATGGTACTGCCATAACAACAGACCATAGAAACACCAGTTATGATGGTAACCATGGTACTGCCATAACAACAGACCATAGAAACACCAGTTATGATGGTAACCATGGTACTGCCATAACAACAGACCATAGAAACACCAGTTATGATGGTAACCATGGTACTGCCATAACAACAGACCATAGAAACACCAGTTATGATGGTAACCATGGTACTGCCATAACAACAGACCATAGAAACACCAGTTATGATGGTAACCATGGTACTGCCATAACAACAGACCATAGAAACACCAGTTATGATGGTAACCATGGTACTGCCATAACAACAGACCATAGAAACACCAGTTATGATGGTAACCATGGTACTGCCATAACAACAGACCATAGAAACACCAGTTATGATGGTAACCATGGTACTGCCATAACAACAGACCATAGAAACACCAGTTATGATGGTAACCATGGTACTGCCATAACAACAGACCATAGAAACACCAGTTATGATGGTAACCATGGTACTGCCATAACAACAGACCATAGAAACACCAGTTATGATGGTAACCATGGTACTGCCATAACAACAGACCATAGAAACACCAGTTATGATGGTAACCATGGTACTGCCATAACAACAGACCATAGAAACACCAGTTATGATGGTAACCATGGTACTGCCATAACAACAGACCATAGAAACACCAGTTATGATGGTAACCATGGTACTGCCATAACAACAGACCATAGAAACACCAGTTATGATGGTAACCATGGTACTGCCATAACAACAGACCATAGAAACACCAGTTATGATGGTAACCATGGTACTGCCATAACAACAGACCATAGAAACACCAGTTATGATGGTAACCATGGTACTGCCATAACAACAGACCATAGAAACACCAGTTATGATGGTAACCATGGTACTGCCATAACAACAGACCATAGAAACACCAGTTATGATGGTAACCATGGTACTGCCATAACAACAGACCATAGAAACACCAGTTATGATGGTAACCATGGTACTGCCATAACAACAGACCATAGAAACACCAGTTATGATGGTAACCATGGTACTGCCATAACAACAGACCATAGAAACACCAGTTATGATGGTAACCATGGTACTGCCATAACAACAGACCATAGAAACACCAGTTATGATGGTAACCATGGTACTGCCATAACAACAGACCATAGAAACACCAGTTATGATGGTAACCATGGTACTGCCATAACAACAGACCATAGAAACACCAGTTATGATGGTAACCATGGTACTGCCATAACAACAGACCATAGAAACACCAGTTATGATGGTAACCATGGTACTGCCATAACAACAGACCATAGAAACACCAGTTATGATGGTAACCATGGTATTACCATAACAACAGACCATGGAAACACAAGTTATGATGGTAACTATGGTATTGCCATGATGACTATATGAGATGGAAACATTAATTATGATGGCAGCTATTATTGGCATTGCCATAAACATCTATCATGTGAACACCAGTTATTATAGTAACCATACCACGACATTCTCTGAAGCTGTCATGTAGATACTGACAGTGCACCGTGCGATTATGCAGCACTTTTTATAAGGCTATTGTGCTTTACCTTCATGACGTCACAGCCGTTGCATAATTATGCAAATGAGGTTTACCTGAACACACACGCGCACGCACGCTTGTTATTGACACCGAGTCAATATGTAATTAAATCACTGAAGAAATCTAGACACACACACAGCGACTTCCGCGTCCGAGAGGAAAGAGCCCTATGCAGTGTGCCAGCGTCTCGACACCTAATGAGCAACGCTGTCACGGAGACACGGCCGGTGACACTCACCTCCTCCGGTTCCGCGCCGTCCGCTCCGTTACCGACCCGAGCCATGGCGCTTGATTCCCTGAGTTAACCGCCACACATCTGGACCCCAGCGCGCTGCTGCTGAAGGCGGTTCTTCGGCGGCGGACTCGGTTCAGCCTCTCGGTACGGTCGGAGGTGTGACGTCAGGCTTACCGGACACGCCCACCGACGCGTCACGCACGCGCTTTGCGATTAGAAACAGTGTAATAATATTTATAACAATTTAATTTAATAAAGTGATAAATAACACCCCAGTTTTGTTCGGTTTGAGTGAACCGGAGGCAGAATCACGGGGAAACCTGAGCTCATGAATATTAATCGAGTTGATTGGTAACCTTCCTGACACACATCCTGATTAATATTCATAAGCCACGCCTCGTCCACAGCAGGCTTCGCTCATTGGCCAGCAGACTGGCGCGCGTCACGTAATTAATATTCATGAGACATTTTATTTTGGATGCAATTAATCAGGTACTAAAGCTGGTTTCTATTGCACTGTCAGCAACTGAACTGCAGCTCAGACTGTTTCAGATACAGTGAACTAAGCTACAAACTCCATCAGCTGTTGGTGCGATTGTTCAGAAATGCTAGTCCCTCCGCTCAAGGCGGCACATGCACAGGCCCCTCAAACTTCACCACATCGAGGGGCCGATGGACGGGGCCATGTACCGTAAAATCTTGGATCAAATACTTATTTGACTCACTGAAGTGCAAATCAATTTATGTCCTTTAATACCGTACTTTTTTGGTTGATATTCTGTCTCTATCTGTTCCAATTCACTGGTTTTGAGCGGTACGATTTTTAATGTGTTTTAAAGAAGTCTCGAATGCTCACCAAAGCCTGCATTTATTTGATCAGAAATACAGCAAAAACAGTAAAATTGTGAAATATTTTTACTATTTAATATAACAGTGTTCTGTGTGAATATGTGTTAAGCTGTAATGTATTTCTGAGATGCGCAGCTGTATTTTCAGCATCATTCCTCCAGTCTTCAGTGTCACATGATCTTCAGAAATCAGTATAATATGCTGATCGAGAAATATTTCTGATTATTATAAATGTTTAAAACAGTCGAGTACATTTTTTCAGGATTCTTTGATGAATAGAAAGATCCAAAGATCAGCATTTATCTGAAATAAAAAGCTTTTGTAACATTATACACTCTAGCATTCAAAAGCTTGGAGTCAGGATATTTTTGTGAAAGAAATTAATTATAGAAATTAATACTTTTATTTAGCAAGGATGCTTTAACCCCTTAACTGCCACTCACATTTTTGAACATAAGACGTGAAAGCGCACGATCCAAACTCAACATTTTCATAATTCATGAACGAAAACATCTTGGAACATGATATTGATGCACCATTTTCATGGTAATGCAATGTTTGATTTTAAAATGGGTTTCAGATGAGATTTAAAGTTTTCAACTGATATATAACTTCTGATGATTTCTAAAGTGTGATCGAGAAAAAGGCAACGAAGACGACTTTTTTTTTGACAAAGGTCAGAACTTTAATTTTTGAGGTGCACTCTTGCCGAAAATTAATCTATTACTTTTCCTACATCATTTTTAACAAAAACATTGGTAAAATATCTATTTAGGAGTCTTAGACCTTTCCAGCGATATATAGTTTGTCATGATTAGATTTTAATTGTAATATAGTGACGTAAACTTAGGCGTCCCCTAAAGGGTTAAATAGATCAAAAGTGATGATAAAGACATTTATAATGTTACAAAAGCTTTATATTTCAGATAAATGCTGTTCTTCTGAACTTTCGGTTCATCAAAGAAACCTGAAAAAATGTACTCGACTGTTTTAAACATTGATAATAATCAGAAATATTTCTCGATCAGCATATTATAGTGATTTCTGAAGATCATGTGACACTGAAGACTGGAGGAATGATGCTGAAAATACAGCTGCACATCACAGAAATACATTACAGTTTAACAGATACTCGCATAGAAAACTGTTATATTAAATAGTAAAAATATTTCACAATTTTACAGTTTTTGCTGTATTTCTGATCAAATAAATGCAGGCTTGGTGAGCATTCGAGACTTCTTTAAAAAAAACATTAAAAATCTTTCTGGTACAAAATCAGCAGGGGATCAAATAATTATTTTCCCCACTGTATATATATATATATAATTAAGTTTTGGTTTTCAAGATCAAGCACATGTCATTGTGATGCAGTAACTTTCCAAGTCTGCATTTTGAAGACCCTCAGATATTAATAAGTCTGAAATCACAACACGAGCACCAAAGAGTACTGAAGATCAGTTTAATGCGTATCCACACAGGTAGCACATGCGAGTGCTTTATAATACAGATCTCGGGGCGTCGGAACGTGCGTGTTACGGCTGAATGCATTCATTAAAGACGGTGTGTGTGATATTAGCAGATATAGTGTGTGTGATACAGACTCGCTAGTGTGTGTTTACTGTATGATCTGAATGTCGCTGCCCTGTAAACGGTTTAATGCTCAGGTTTAACATGTACTTGATCGTGTCACATCTGACAAACATCCGTCTAGGGTGCGTCGAACTAGATTTGCTGTATTTTCAGACACTATTTAAGGCACATGTCCCTTAAATAGTTTGGAGTTTAACTGTAGCGTGATTGTAAAACACACCTGAAGTCTGTAAGTTCACTGCTGGTGTGATTTAATGCTCTGAGAGAAAAGGTCTGTCGGTCAGCATAAGAATCAGACCAGACTTCACCTTTATTCGTGCCTCTCTCTCTCTCTTTTCCTGCAGAACGACACCTGTGTGAAGTATCGAAAAGTCAAGGCATTGGGATTCATCTATAACACGAAACCTGACGGCAAAGCTCCCAGAAGAGCTGCTGAAACACCCTGTGTTTTACACTAAACCCTCACGAGGAATCGGCCAATTCTTATCAGCGCGATCGCATAAAAACTCTCTCCGACGGCGGATAAAAAGCCCGATTCCAGAACAACAACACAACGATAAAAGCAGGCCTTGAACTCCGGCGGGGTCCTCGTGTCAGCTCCGGTCCGCACTGGAAACAGAGCAGAGATCAGTGAGACCGTCCGCAGCTGTTTAACAGCTCTTCTAACGAGAGACATGACAGTATACTCCGCAACGAACACAGAAAAACAAGCAACATTTGAACACCAGGCTGTTCTGGAGTTCTTAAAGGGATAGTTCACCCAGAAATGAACATTTGCTGAAAATACCCTCAGGTTAATGTGATCAAATGTAGCATTGCATCAGTGTCTCTGCAAGTGAATGGGTGCCGTCAGAATGAGAGTCCAAACAGCTGATAAAAACATCAGAATAATCCACAGCACTCCAGTCCATCAGTTAACATCTGGAGAAGACAAAAGCTGAGACAAATCCAGCATTAAGACGTTTTAAAGGGACAGTTCACCCTAAAATGAAAATTACCCCATGATTTACTCGCCCTCAAGTCATCCTAGCTGTACATGACTTTCAT